CAACCCCAGCGCGGGATGAGACCGGGGTGCCAACAAACACTTTTTGGGGTGAAATCCAAACGAGATGGGGCGCGAGCAAAACCAAAAAGGCTTGAGCAAAATAAAAGTGCCGTTTTGGTGCGTCATCAGGGCTCGAGCAAAATAGATTGGTAAATTAGTAATGACGCAGATGACCACGTCTGCGAGTTAAAGTGAATCACAAGTCGCACCATACACCAACCATTCATAGCACCGTACTGCGTGGCCGCACTGCTCTGTGTGTTTATTCCTCATTCTACGCGTCCGCCTACAGTGGGTGCTTATACTCTTTGTAGTGCAGCAATGCCGAGAATAGCATGGAGGAAGCTGGCGGAGCGTACATCCAGTGACGGCTTTACAAAATTCCGAGCCGAGATGTTTTGCTGCTCTTCAATCTATGCGAAGCGTGAGATCAACTGTAAATTATGCCCTGGTGATCATGCAATGCTTGAGCGGCGCATGGTATGCACGAGTCCATCCTGTGCCAAGAAGGAAGCGGCACTGGGAGGTACACAGTGTGCTGTACAGTGGAAAACATGGGAGTGCACGTCTCATTCGTCTTGGCACATCTACACGAACGACGAAAAGCATTTGCGCGACGAGGCATGCATTGGTGCCCATCGTGTGCCTATAACCACAGAAGTGAAGGAGTTTGTAACTCGAATGGATGCCTGTGGTATGCAACCTCGGCATATATGGAGCAGTCTTCGTCGCGCGCCAGACATACCGGCTCCGCCGTTGGGGCTGCCGTCTCGACAACAAATTACCGATTGCGTGAAACGTCTACGAAAGAAGAGTTTGACGCGTAACACACGGCAAGGTGTGAAGTCGTTGGCAAAGGAGTATCCTTACTACCCCGGAATCGACGCTGAAAAAGCTTTCCTGTTTGCTCCGGAACTTGAAGACGATGGATTTCCTCGAATTGGAAAAGGATCTGACGAGGACTTCTTAGTTGTGGGAATTTCTACTCTAAGCTTGCTAACAAAAGTTAACAAGCTCCGTAGTGATGACCACTTCAGACTTTTCCACACCGACGCTACTTTTAAGCTCACTGACCTGGGCTACCCAGTGATAACTTGTGGATTTACCGATCGATCGCGCACGTACCACATTGCTGCCATCCTGATAGTTAGTGCTAGAACTCACCGAGAGTACGAATTGGCATTTGGATGTTTTGCAAAGCTGTACCAAAGGATATTTGGGGCTTCGCTGCGCGTGGATGCTATCATGGGAGACGCAGAAGACGCACAGCTGAACGCGTTGCGAAACGTTACAGTATTTAGCGAAAGCAAATACTTGATGTGTTTTTTTCATGTGCTTTATAACGTGCACAAGCGGACAAGACACCTTGAAACAGGCCCGGGGGTTTCCGTATTTTCAGGAGTTATGGATATGCATTTTACGACAAACTATACAGAGTACTGCAGTGTGAAAGATCGCGTTATTTCCGAGTGGAGAATGGAACCATGCCTCAAAGCGTTTGCGAATTACTTTGAAGAACAGTGGATTGAAAGCCGTTTTTGGAGATGGCAGATTTATCACTCTCCATCTAGTTACGCTACGACAAACAATCCCTGTGAAATATTTAACGCCACTGTCAAACGTCATGTACAGCGGAAAGCTTCCGAAATTTGCACGTTGATCCGAAGTATGATTACTCTGGCTGAAGATGTAGGTTGTGATGTTGCCTCTCCTTCAGCATCTATCGCCGCACCCAATCCCGAAATGAAACGTACGGCTAAGTGGATGTTGAAAGCCAAAGCTGTAATGGTATTTCGGACTCGTGATGCAGCGCAAGTGCGTGTGATGCATATATCGGAAATGCATATGGATGCAGAAGCCATGGCATCCATGCGGGAAATGGCGAATGTTAGTATTTGCGACCAAGAATCCGAACATTTCTCGTTTCTATCCTTGCTGTTAGACAAGTCACAAAAACGAAAAGCTTCTCGCCTGTATTGTGATAGCGTGAAATGGTCTACGAGGCGGGCACATCGACAAAATATGCCTCCCAATGGATGGCTAGTGAATGCTGAGGAGAACGAATGCGCGTGCTCAATGCACGTTAAGTTTGGAATATGTTCTCACATAGTGGTGGCTAGATCGGTCCTCGGGATTGGAAATAACGTTGGCTTTGGGGAAAAACTTATGTGTAGACGAGCAAGAAAGAAGCTGAGAAAAAGCCAAGATGACACTGTGGCTTCTGTATCAGATCGGAGCAATTTGGGAGTCACCGTTGACGCTGAGGCTCAGTTTCGTGCGTTCCGACATAGGCAAGAGCACTTGGGACATGTTCACGAGTTGGATAGAGATTCTTTCGAGGATGGTAGTGTTCGAATGTTACCCTCGACGCAAATTGACCAGGGCTTTTACGGGCATATACACAACACCACAAACCGCAACAACTCTTACAATCGAGTTATCGCCAGTAAAAATTTGAAATGACAACAATGAATGGCTGAATGCATGGAGTCCAGGGTTTATATATCCACTGACTTCGACGAATGTATCGACTAGTTATATAAATTTCGTGCCTGGTCCTGCACAAGACGGCTTTGCGATGCAGCTACACCCCAGGACCGAGCCAGCCAAACTTGCATCACGAAATCAGTCAACAGTTCAGCTACACCCCTGCTTCCAATATGTCGACAGCAACTGAAAACGAGAGAAGTACCGATTTTGCCGCAAGGTGTATGGAGCAAGACTCCGAGAACGTGTTTGGTCCTGGTAGACCTGTGGAGTGGACTCGCAGTACAGATGACACTTTGTTTGGTACGCCGTCACCCCGCCAAGTAGGAAGACCTCCGTTATCATCCCGCGCACTTCAGATGCAAGCCCTGCTGAACTAATACGACTAAACCATTGCTGTTGTTATTCTCATTATTTTATTATCAATACAGAACCTTTATTGCAAAACTCACTGCCAGTTCACAATAAGTCGCGCGAGTTAATGTGAAACCCACTGCCAGTTCACAATAATTCGCGCGAGTTAATGTGAAACCCACTGCCAGTTCACAATAAGTCGCGCGAGTTAATGTGAAACCCACTGCCAGTTCACAATAAGTCGCGCGAGTTAATGTGAAAGGATTGGGATTAAAAAACGAGTGGTCACAATTCAACAGACGCAGAATATGTCGAGGCGTGTGTGTACGCAGCGCACAGAGCGGGAGAAGTTTCAGCTGCTGCGGCAATGGCAATCTCACCCGGAATGGACTCTCCGTGACGCCTCTCATGAACTGGGAGTCTACGATAGCACCCTCCGAGGTTGGAAGGAACAGTACTGGCACCGACTGGACGAGGAATGCGGTTCACATCGAAAGCGAAGGAAAGGAGGAGGGCGGAAGTACAAAACGAAGCCCTACGAGGGGAGGATTATCGATTACTTTGATAATATGCGTGCAAGTGGCAGAGGCACCTTCTCGGAGATGTTGCATTATTGCAGAAACATTGAAGAATTTACGGCAGATATAACCAATCCCAACTCTCAAAACACATGGGTCCGTCGGTTTATCGAGCGATATTCAAAGCCAGGGCCAGCGGACGTTGTGGTGGTGGTTCCCGGTGTACCAGAGCATTTGCAGGACGCCCAGAACAACCCGAGCCTTCCTGAAGCGTCGCAGGACGTATCCGCATCACCCCAGGACGTCCAGGACGCCCAGGTCGCGTTGCAGGACGTCCAGGACGCCCAGGTCGCTTCGCAGGACGTATCCGCGTCTCCACAGGACGTCCAGGACGCCCAGGACGCGTCGCAGGAAGAATTTTACATGCCCCAGGACGTGCAGGATGCCTCGCAGGACGCCCAAGAGGTTTCCAATGTTTTTCAGGGCAAGACTATAGGCGGTCAGCACTTGCCAGGCGTTTCTCAGTGTCTACAAGACGCCATGCAGGACGTACAGGAGGCTATACAGGTCGGGCTGGATGTCCCCGATGGTATACAGAGTGATGACGATGAGCAGTACCACGTAGGTATGTTGGTTTCACTTTTTTCCAAGGACACTACATATAAGGCTGCATTGCTGTGCAAGAACTTTCGACTTTTCTACTTTTTGAAAGCTCCGAAGGTTACTGCGTACGAGCTTCGGAAAATGCAGAAGGAAGCAATTGTATCGCCCAACAAGTTGGTACAAATTTTACCTTGGTCTGTCATTAGGCAGTGCCAAAAAGCTATATCCTCGCTTCAAAACAAACGCGAAGGCGTCGGAGAGCTGGGTATGGTGGTGAAGGTTGCAACAGTGGGAATATTGACTCCGCCCACCGTCGCAGCCATGAAGCGGTGGCATGAAGT